TGTAATGTCACTAACGAATTTACCTGCTCTTCAATTTAGTGCTATGACATTCTCTGTTCCAAAATGACAATGTAATGAATGTGTGCCTTTGAAACGAAACCACTTTGTACTTACAATGTATATTAATGCAGACTTGTTCTCGTCACTATATGGCTGGAATAATGCCGATGTGACGTAAAGCCCAACTCAACTCAACTCAACTCAATATTAGTAGTATTTCACACAAGTTCACTTCTCCGAGCATGGCGTCCTTTTCAACATCTAGTTATTTCGCTTCATTCATGCTGGCATTTTATATTGCTGACATCTGTGATTCTAAACTAGGGAGTTGTGAGTGAGTGAGTTGGGTTTTACGCAGCTTTTAGCAATATTCCAGCAACATCACGGCGGGGGACACCAGAAATGGGCTTCACACATTGTGCCCATGTGGGGAATCGAACACGGGCCTTCGGCGTAACGCTTTAACGGCTAGGCTACCCCATCGCTCCAGGGTGTTATGGAGAATAACGGAATGTACATATCGATACATGAAGTAGATAGCGTTTGACTATATAAGTAATCATGGTGTAAATGTAACTGCACTTATTAAACCGGCTGATAAAAACAATGTGGTTTCTGAGATTGAGTATAAACACAGTAAATTTCTATTATCGTGCAACAAAAAAACAACTGTGCGACGATATTGTTTCAAAAAGGTGAAGGAAAATTGAGAACGGACACGATATATACTGCCTAATATGTGAGCGACTTACAGCCTTGTCAGGCATACCCCGTTCAAACAAGCTGCTGAACATTACGGAATAAAAAATTGAAATTCCGTATTTTTTCTCAAACAGCTGATCGTGAGAGCTATGTCTGTGTGCGAGACTTCAAAGAGAAACTTCCTCTTCAAACAAACCGCTGGTCTGTTTCGAAAATGTAAATACAGAACAAGATAATGTGAATGATATCCTTACCACATGGATGATGAAGGGGTTAACAAGTCTGCCCTAGCCGGGGACACTCCTGTGTGGAAATTGAGACTATGTTTGTACATTACGCAGTTATAGATAATAATACAAACCATACATGGACTGTACAGTCACTTATCTGCCACGTCAACCTTTACTGTACTTTACTTTTTTCTTGTTGGTTTGTTGCTTAACGCCGCTAATTAATATCCCAGCTATATGGCAGCAGTCTTTAAATAATCGAATCTGGACCAGACAATCCAATCATCAACATCATGAGCATCGATCATTGGGATACGATCACATGTGTCACGCATAAGTCACCTCTTACAACAAGCATGGGTTACTGAAGACCAATTCTAACCCGGATCGTCACGGAACAGAAGTTCTGGACTCGGGTACTCGGGTAGCTTTACCCGACCTGACCAGGCACTCGTTACTCATTTACATGAATTCAATTTCTATGAAAGTTTTACCTTAAACATGTCCACATTCTTCGAATTAAAGTTTTGTTGGGAAATGCGAAATACTTAAATTTGACTTGAGTTTCCATGGAAACTAAAGCATACTAAAAATAATGTTTTGATTAAAACGCAGAACCTCACTTACTTACATTCAATTAAACCATTTAATACCACGAAACCAACGTGACCCCTATCCATGTTTTAAATGACGTTGGATTTACATTTCTTCATTGAGCATATCATAACTGAATTTCATCGTCGGGGTCATCTATTTGCTTCCTTATAAATCGGAAATTCCAAGGATTATATGTTACACTCTACAAACGATATACATAATTCTCTCTTGCTTAAGGACCGAATGCTTTTTGTACAATAAACTTCTTAAGACGTCTTTTGACTTCGACTTTGACAAAACAAAACAGGTATGAGAGACCATAATATGCTGGGTTTTTTTAAATCCAATACTCCGAGTAAATATGTACATTTATAATAGAACACCGACGAGAGTTGTTATGATGTACCTGATTTTCAACAAATTCGCTTTGCCTAACACGGCAGTGGGTGATATCAGGAAATATAAAATAGTAAGGTATATTTGCGAGCCTGCTGTATTTTGAATCTTACGCAACTTTAAAGTCAGGGTTGAAGAGGAGTAACATGCATGTGTCCCTCTGGCATCCATGGGGTTGAACGGACTTGACTGACGGGTGTCTCCTGTACACTCACGTGATTTAGCAGTACTGCCAATGTTTGCATGTTGTATAGACTTGAATTTTAGACCCCTCGGTATAAAGTTACAGACAGATCTGAAGAGGGAAAAGCTCTGTCTAAATTTTTTGTTTCAGCAACGAAAGTACCCAGGACTTTTCTTTAGATTATGGGGGCGGTGGGGTAGCCTAGTGGTTAAGGCATTAGCGTGTCACACCAAAGATCCGGGTTCGATTCCCTACAGGGGCACAATGTATGAGGCCCATTTCTGGTGTCTCCCGCCGTGATATTGCTGGAATATTGCTAAAAGTATGTCTAGCTCATCAACGTGACAACTTACTTGTGAAATAGTTTCCTGACAGCGACGACTGACACGACAGCTACAACAACAACTCCGACAGCATGCAGCACTTTCTGTGATGTGTCCATGTCGCTATAAGCATTCACTCCATTACTGATGGTCTGAGTCTTCCTCATTCGTGACCAACTCGTGTTATTCCGGGACAAGCCGAATAGCGAGGTTACGGAAAGGGGCAAGTGGTGACGAATGAGTCTTCCTGTGTTGTCACTGTGCACTGCAGTGTGTTAAAAACAGGCCAACCTGTATAACACCCACAATGCTAGCTGCAGTACTAGGTCATAGTGAAAAGGGGAATAAGCGTTGAGCGAAGCAATCATTCATTAGGCTTGCGCCCGCGATATTACTGCGTGTGTAAAAATATGCATTGTCCTGCCCGATTTCCTACGATTAGGTATGTCGTTTATATAAGATGCACTATACTAGAGAATTGATGCAGAATGTCCATATTTCATTACGTTATTATAGCTAACCTAAATATAAATTATCACTAAACTCAACTGCTTCCTGTGATAAAACAAACCTCCAGGTAAAGGTTAAAATCTGGACCTGTTCAGGCTGACATTCGTGTCTGCAGCAAATAGCAATACCCATTACCGTTTCGAATTTAAAATCACCAATTACACATAGTTTACGAAAACAGATTATAGGGATTGGAGATGTGTTTATCTCCTCACTATTATTATTCTTATTCTTTTCAGGGTAGTTGGTGTATATATTAGACATTGGGTAACTTTAGATGAGGTGAAATTGGGTTTAACGTCGTACTTGAGAATATTTCGCGCTTATGACGACGTGCATGCGTGTGTATGTGTATGTGCGGCTGCTTGTACTAGCCCAGACTGAAGCTGGTTTTATAGTGCTAGCCCACTGAGTTACCATGCCGCAGTGAAGCATGAATACCCCACTCAGACACATGATACTGACTCCGAGCCAACCAGTCCTTGTTGTACCCATTAATGCCGAGCGCCAGGCAGGGACCAACAAGTACCATATTTTAACGTCTTTAGGTATGACGTGGTCGGGGATTGAACCCGCGACCTTCCACTTTCCGGGCGGACGCTCTAACCACTACACCACGGAGGCGGTCGTGTAACTTTAGAGCTGTTTACAACATCCGAGTTAGTATTCAAGGAATTATTAATGTAGTTGTGAAGCCATGGGACAACTTTAGACCTGTTCACAACATCACAGTTAGTAACTTCTTTGAGAGGCATTTTAGAAGTTGTATAGATGAAGGAAAACCAAGTTCTATGGATAGTCAACTTCTTTATTGCAATGGGTGCGACGTTTCAGTGTAGGTACTAACATCGTTATCAAGGAAGTACCTACACCGAAACATCGCACCCATTGTAATAAAGAAGTTACACCGAAACGTCGCACCCATTGCAATGAAGAAGTTGACTATCCATAGAACTTGGTTTTCCTTCATCACAGTTAGTATTCAAGGAATTATCAAGGCAGTTATTATCCCCCGCAGCGCGTTTTGCGGGGTATTAAAATGTGCTCCGTCCGTGCGTCCGTGCACATTTGTCTTTTCCGGAGTAGATCTCTAAAACCGTTCACTATTTCGTCACCAAACTTGGCACATAGATTGGACTGGTGGTGTACTGGTGCCTTTTGGTAGTTTTGGATTTCTGAATAAAATATCTTTTCATTTCCATGCCAAAAAGTTTGACTTAGAATCTGGTGGTATTGCTTCTTTCTGGAGCAGAACTTTGAAAACCTTTCAATACTCTCCTTCCACTTTTCTATATACACACAAAAACATTTGACATAATCATAACTCGTAGACATATTCATGAAGAGTATTTTGCCATTGCGGGGGATATTGACCACTTTGTCTTCTTGTTGTATTGACATTGGGTAACATTAGTCCTGTTCACAACATCACAGTTAGTGTTCAAGGAATTATCAAGGCAGTTGTTGTACTGACATTGGGTAACATTAGACCTGTTTACAAAACCACAGAGCAGCGTTAATCATCACTCACTCATCCCTGTGAGGAAAAACAGTTCTTAACTACATATAAAAGCAAACATTTATTTAAAGATCGTAAACAAACGAAACAATTGCAGATATATGTCTGCTCATAGATACAGTGGATATTATCCCATATTCGGGAAAATACAAACAATTATATAAAACTGATATGAAGGAAAACAAATGAACACAAACATTATGATGAGATGGAGCTTACGATAGGTTTTGTGACATGGGCTCTAGCTTCAGTGACTGGTTGATTTTAGTAAACAATCACGTTAAAGTACATGTTTGATCTGTTGACATTTCAGTTCCATGTCAGAAAATGATCAAATCCCTACAAACATATATTTACATTGTGTACTGCTGTAACGTAGTGTTTGAACTGCTATTGCTAACTTTCCTCAAAGAGACCGATAATATAATATATCACTAAGTTTCACCAATGTGAAAAGTATGAAATTAGAAATGATAAAGGGAAGTTCAGTTATGAAGCACATGCTCCCATATCTAGGCAAGCAACTACGCAGTATGTACAGCACGTTGAAGACTTTCCCAGAACACCTCCTGACCTTCCCGATCATCCGTGTACACCAAGTAGGAGTCTTGACGCATTAATTCCACAATGTTAGGGGGCAGATTCTTCACTGGGATCTTCTCCAGGATTACCACCAGCAGTGTGTTCCGTCCAGTGTAGATACTCTCCATCTTAGCCACTTCGTACTTACACCAGTAGCTCTTCAGGAAGTTACTTGACAGGATTATCACTGTCCTCCTGCTTGATCTGATGGCATGCAGGATGTTTGCAGCAATAGCTTCCCCCACAAGAAAGTCTCGATGGTGGATACAGAGTCGAAGTCCCTGCTGTCCTTCCAATATCCGCCTCATGTCCTCCACAACAAATCCTCGGTCCTCGTCAGCATAGGAGATGAAAGCATCAAACTCAAACTGAGGTCCACCATCTTCTTCGTCCTCCGCAGCCAGATAAGCCCGGTGTTTTATTCGTACCAGATAGTAAAGATACCTCAATTTCCATCTAAACCTGTACACTATTCCTGTTATGGACAAGCTTAGAACAAGCATCACAAGGCAGAGGACACCGATAGATAAACCTAAGTAGGAGGTACACTTTTTGTCAAGGTCAAAAACGATCTGATGGATGTCTTTCAAGAATAGTTGTCTGTTGCTGTCATCCACGCAGATCATGTTATCAAGACCAGGTAATTTAAAAGAATTATCTATCATCCATTTCAGTGAGTTCAGTGTCAAGCAATTGCACTTGAGAGGGTTGTCTTTAAAGTGAAGCTGAAAATCACGTCTCACCATGCATCTGACTTGATGGCAAAAAGAGATGGAATTTCATCAAAAGCGTTTCTTGATAAATTGATGACTGTCATATTGAAATTGATTATTTCGATTTTCCAGGACATCATATAATTAGAACCTAAATTTAAGAATTTAAGCCGACTGCTATTTTTGAAGATCAGCTTTGGAAGTGAACTTATTTTATTATTTGATAAGTCAAGGTGTTCCAGCAAAGGCATTTCACCAAATGTGTCATTCGTGAGGGTATATCCAAAATAATTGGAACTGATATCCAGATACTTCAAGGATGGAAAGTATGAAAAAACTCCTTCAGCAAGGTATTCGAGGAAATTGTTAGAAGCATGTAACTTTTCTAGGTGTGTTTATCCTATGATGGGACCCGTCCACAAGGAAAAATAATTAAACGATACATCTATCTCCCGAATTTTGTTTTCACCAATTTGGAAACGTATGACTTCAAAGGCCATTTTTGAATGACTTGCATCGATAAATGTAACATTTGGAGGCACATAAATTGTAACATTTCCCGTGAAAGGTTTGTTATATTTATCCAGTTGAAGAAGGTGACGCGAATGAAGGCTTGTAGTGTCAAAGAAGGATATTGATGATGTACCTTGATGCGACGTATCTACCCACTCCAAATCTGTCAACACCGACAATTCCATCAAGTAAAGCCCAAACGAAAGGTGATTCTCTTTGATAGATATTTTTTTTAAAGACGTTGGAAGGTTAATAATTACATTTTTATCAATCATTTCTATTCTGTTTGCTTCAATGTACAATTCTTCTAACTTGGTATTCTTTAGATATTTGACATCTTCAACTGTCAACAGTGTACTACGCCCCATCATTCGGCCTATTCTATTTACGTTTAGTGTTCTCAGAGACGAATTCTGCAGTCCATACGTAGCTTGTCCCATTTTTGTAATTCCCAGATATCTGTTATGTGACACGAGGAGGGATGTAAGATTCTTTAAAACTTCAAAAGATGATATTTCAATGTCAATCAACAGACAGTATGACACATCCAGAGTCTGTAAGTGAGGCACATCCACAAATGTGTCATTCCTCAAGTAACGTGTGTAACACGTCCTTAACTCTCCCCCTAGTGATAATGACTGGAGCTGCTTCAATGTGAATCCCTTTCCAAAGTATAGTTCTATCGGTCCATCAATGCGCAGATCTTGTAAGGAGATTAAGGATTTGAATGCACAGCCCGGGTAAGCATCTCGTCCAAAGTGGTTTCCAGAATGCATATGGTGAATGTCTTTCTCAATGAAACTAGAATTTGAGCTGTCTTTCAATGGTCGGCTTTCCACTGTTCGGTTTAAGCTTTCGTCATAAGGACGAGATTCAACATTTTGGTTAATGTAAAGTACTTTAAGTTTGGCCTGGTGTTTGAATAACCCGTCCCGATAGACCTTTGTTGGCGATAGATGATTGTGAGTGAGATCCAAAACTTCAAGGTTTCTTAGCTCTTGAAACGCGCCGAGTTCAATGTCCTTGAGACAATTGAAAGACACATCCAATCTGGTAAGATGTGCATAACTGAGAGATCCATTTTCCAAGCGACCTATGTAGTTTCCTGAAAGATTGAGATCAGTTATGTTGGATAGTAGATGTGATGGGACTTTGTCAAGTTGCCTATTCCTACAATCAGCTATGACTCTCTCTCCATCGTATTGACAGTTGCACGGCACACACTGATCTTGATTCACATGTTGATGTGCATCATCACTTGTATCTTGACTTGCACCACTACGTACATCCGGACGTTCATTGTTACTTGCAATATTAGTTGCAACGTAGCTAGCATCTCGACTCGCAGCTTGCATTGATGTGATAACATTCTTTGACACTCGGAGTTTCAGAAGTAGCACCAGCACCAGAAGGTTCTGAAAGTAGCATATACAAACATTATTTTCGCAGATAAAGACGTCAAGGAGAATGTTTTTGAAACAACTCCTGTAGAATGTTCCAGAACAATATTTTCTTTCAGATTTGCAGTATGTGCTAAAAGCTCTAACTGGACCATGTTCGGGAATTCCAAAGCGAAAGCGCAAGCCTTCTTTTGCACGTGTTGTTGACGAGTGGGATGTAGCACGATGGTAAGGCCACCCCAATTGTTAAATTAACTAACAGGGTCTATAAGTTCACAAATCAACACAAAGGTATCTCCACGGCAGTACAAAATAGTGTGGTAGTACAAGTTCAGTGGTAATATACATGTAATATACTCTTCAAAAAAAAAAGGAACTTGACGTGCTGTTTTGAAGTTTACTTACTGAGTACATATAACTGATTCAAACATGACATCATTGCTCAATTACAGTAAAACCATCACTTTACAAATTTCCAACACATTATTATCCAGAAAATGTTTGGTAAAACTACAGAGGGCTATTAAAGCGACTTGGTCAGAGTAAAATGTCAGTATCTGGTGTGACCACCATGAAAATCGATAGCGGTGACCCATAGAAGAAAGGAGATGCCGAATGCTGTCTTGAGGAATGTTTTGATACTCTTGATGAAGTGCTGTGTGCAGTTCTTGTTGTATCTGAGGTGGTGGAATACGCTTGCGCAAGCGTCGATCAAGAGTATCCAATAGGTGTTCAATGGCGGACAAATCGGGTGATCGAGAAGGTGAAGGTAACCCCTGAACATTGTTTTGCTGGAGGAAGTCCTGTCAAAACACGTTCAACGTGAGGTCGAGCATCAACCGTTGATGTTGAAGGGGACGACGTGACGTTAATCTGGTCTTCTGGCAAAAAGTCTGGCTTTCCATAGCCAATTGCGCAATGTCTGGTCGGAGATTCGGCGCAGTCCAGGGATTTGGATTGTTGTAGATGATGCGCCCGTGGCATTTCAATGAAGATGTCTCAACCGGATATAGCGATCCTGGGCGGCGGTTTTAACTCTAGGTCGACCTGACCTGGGTCTGTCATTAACGCTCCTAGTATTGTTGTATCGGATCCATAGGTTTGAGATGGTCTCTCTGGACACGCTGAAGTGCCTTGCAACCTCATGCTGCGATGCCCGTCCTTGTAAATGGTCGATGGCGTTGTGTCGTTGAGCTTCTGTCGGTCTTTTCATTCTCTTGTCGTCTATAGTGGCTTAAAGCAATGAATGTTGAGCACCATTGATGTGGCTTTTTAAAGCCTACAGTTATAGACTTCAGCTCAGGCTGATACACAATTTCATGATGCACGTGCATTTCATATAGGGTACGTTTTAGCGATTCACGACAGGCGTTAGTGTAATGTAACGTTTTTGTTCAACTTTCTTTTTCCAAACGTTTTGTCGTCGGCAAACATTCCCCCCACATGTTGGGATTCAGCATGGATTAGTTTGTGCCGAATATTTTCCTAAATTCAAATTTTTCCCATGTCAAATTTCTTTTTTTTCGAAGAGAATATAACAGCAGCGATTATATCAATAGAGACAGCGACGATAATATTCACTTCTCAGAAACAGTAGTCTAACTACTGGCGAACAAGGATAAGTTGGATCAGTGCCGAGAACGCGTTTACGAGAAATAGGCGGTGCACGGCAATGATCTCTCTTTTCTTGTGATGTAATGTGAAGTGCGAGCAAAGGTTATCTCTCAACTCAACCCACAACTCTAAATATAGCACAAAACTATATATAGCACACCTGGAACATTGTTACACTATATATGTCACTGTAAGGTATCAGTATCAAATTTATCTTTGGGGTGCGACCTTTAAGATTTATAAATCTTCAAATCGTTATGGCACATGTGCTTGTATTGCTCAAAATAATACAAAATACGGGTATTTTATTTTTAACCAATCAGAGAGCAGCTCGTCGTTGGTGCGAGCAGATTGAAAGTGAAGGACAAACAAACATGGCGGACTCGATCACTCGAAACCGCTATTTTTCTAATAGAGTCGTGTGTGACAGGTAAAATCAATAACTTATTTCATATGAGAGGTTAAAATACGAAAGCGGAATATCTAGCGATTATGGTTACCTGTTTTCTCCGATTGCGTGTTTTCAGTTGAAATACTTAGCATTTCTTCGTGAATTCCGGCTGTGTATTCCAGAATTTCAAGAGGCAAAAAAAAGGTTGACATGTGAAATGTTTCTTAGAAATTAACTTTACTGCAATATTTTGAACATATTATTTGAAAGAGTACTCGCTGGCATTTACGTAAGAACTATCAGCCATCTGTGTTTTGGACATGTCGCGGTTGTGAATCATAAGTATTTTGACAGACAGACAGACAGATAGAATGACAATTTATTTCAAGTATTCAAGGCCATGGCCCATATTACAAAACAATTTTCATAAGTGTATTCATGCTGGTCTTCTTACAGGTATTTGGTCACCACCGGAACAAAGGTGCTCTCGTAAAATAATATAGATGCTGCACTAAACTATCAAATAATATTTCAGCATATATACTGAAGATATCATTTTAATTTGTTGTATTTCTTATCCTAAAAACATAAAAACAAATTTAATATTACATTTTTATCAGTACTTGACATAATTCTAACAAAATTGTCCCTAGAAGAGCTATTTCTTATACTATAATGAAGATATTTGGGCTTCATAGCGCTGACAGATCATCAAGACTTCTACAAAAAATATTTTTTTACAATGACAATATAAGCAAATCTTTCACTAGCTATTAAATTGCAATGCATTCCTGTTTCAATAGCTAGCCTGAAATTATTACACCTGAATTTACAGATAATAGTTCTTAAATGTTGTTGAATGTCAATTGAAAGATAAGACTGAACATGTAATATTGTTTTAAATTGACAATAAGTTTGACACTTGCTCAACTGTGGAGTAATACAGTGCCATTCCTGGCTCAAGGAGTCACATAATCGCTGTTTAAAAATAGAAATAAACATTTTCACATTGCCAATATCTTGACGTATCCACAAAATTCCGAAACCGTATTGAAAAAAAATATTTCTCACATGAGAGGCCCACGTAGTTCTACCAACATCATCGAGGTATTTAAGCATTAAGTAAGATTGCTAAGGTAAACAATTGTAATCTAAATGAATTATTCTACACCAGTATTTTATTAGTTTTAACATATAGTTGTACTGAAGTGGTACTCTACCACATCCACCAAGTGCCATAACATCACATGTGTTCTTATGTAACCTTAATATTCTCTTGCAGAATCTAGTGTGTACTCTTTCAATGGTTTTAGAATACTGTGTACCCCAAACCTCAGCTCCATATGAAATAATTCGAACAATCATTGTATCAAATAGCTTGAAGGCATCAGTATAAGAGACAAAACCATGCTTTCTTTGATAATTATATAATGACATAAGTGCCTTGTTAGCCTGGGCGGCTAAACAGCTTTGTGCCTTTGACCATGAAAAAGTTGGTGTGAAAACGACCCCAAGATACAGTACAACCAGAAAGTATTGAGAATTGAAAGATTTTTGAATGTTTTGAACGATGTTTTTGGTCGTTGTCCTGCTGGAAAATCCAAAAATATTCATAGAACACGTGAGCAGATGGACGGACTGAATGAGTTTAGTTTTATGCCGCTTTTAGCAATATTCCAGCAACATCACGGCGGGGGACACCAGAAATGGGCTTCACACATTGTACCCATGTGGGGATTCGAACCCGGGTCTTCGGCGTGACGAGCCAACGCTTTAACCACTAGGCTACCCCACCGCCCCGCGAGCAGATGGAAGTAAATGTCCCTCGAGAATATCTGTGTACCGCTCACTGTTCATATTCCCTTCAAATACACAGAGGGGCGTTGCCCCTAACACAGATATGCCACTCCACACGTTAAATTTCGGACTGTACTTTGGGCGCTGATACAAACTTAAGGTTTTTCAGTTTGTTTGGTCCAGAATTTCAGTGTATTAGGAAACAGCCACACAGAACTTTCATCTGAGAAAATCACAAATTTCTATGCTGTAAGCACCAGTTCAACCTTCGCTCCTTTTGTTCAGGTTTCATGATCGGTGATGGAATTCCCCACTTTTCTGCCAACCCATCGCATGCAGCTCAGTTCTAATTGTCTACTTACAGACAGCCACAGTTCCTCTATCAATCATATCCAGCCTTCAGTTTTCTAAACTCCTTCGTTTATTTTTAGAAACAAGGATACCAAGCCGCCCTCCTGTCACCGACAGTCAATTTTCTGGGCCTACCTGCGCCTCCCTGGTGCTCAATGCCATATCCATTTGCAATATTTTTCAAAACACGATAAAACAGTGGACAAAGGGATGCCTGTTCTACTTGAAATCACTTTAGCTGATCTGATGCCCTTGTTATAATACTCTAAAATCAACTTCCTCTTCTCTAAATCATCTATACTGAGGATCACTGAAAATGTCGTCTGCTAGCAAGGGGGGATAACTCTTCACAAACTAATGAAAAAGGATTAACGGAGTTGTCTCTCTTGAATGAAATCAAGCACTAGATAGCTGGTCAAGGTTGTTTATACTAGAAATTCAATTAAACATATTCCTAAAATTCTCAATAATTTCTGGTCATAGTATACCTATGTTTATTAACAACATCAATTTTCTGACCTTTAAAGTACCACTTCTCGTAACCTTATGGAGGACCAACTCTTTGGAATACAATTATATTAGTTTTCTGTATATTTATATTCATACCAGTTGCTTCACTAAACTGTTCTAAAACATTTATTTTTCTTTGTAGATTGATAACAGAATCAGATACACCTGATACATCATCCGCAAAGTATAATGCTACAACATTTGGATGTTTTTGTGAAACAAATATACCATTGTCTCCTTTCTCTTCGAGCATTACAGACAATTGGTTTATAAAAATGACAAATATCAGAGGACCCATAACACTGACGGGTGCCAATATTACCTCGTACACCTATATTGTATAAACTTAGAA